TTTTCCAGTTCGCATCCGTTTTGTAATCATATGCCTTTGGGGTCGTTAATGTGAAGTCGAAGTTCCTTCCTTGTAATATGTCGTATATATTTATTTATTCATAATTTCTCTCGTTCTCGGATTTTCCAGTAAGTTGTTTTGTTTTGTTTTGTTTTGTTTTCGAAGGATTAGCTCTTTGCGGTTTCATTTCGTTGAACCACTAAGAATTGTCTCAATTTCTAGCAACTGACTATAATTCTTGTTCTTCTTTGAATTGATAAATCCTGTACAGAATTCAGGCTAGTAATTTATTTTCAGTTGTAGTTTCGATATCGATATTTGGTTTCCTAGCTTCTAATTATCGAAGTATTCTTTTGATAGCCTCAATTGTTACCTTCCATTCTCGGTCATTCTTCTTGATCGAATGTAACTAGTGCTATAGGGATTTTTTAATTACGTGCGATTGCAAAATTGTCAACAAAGACATTCTTTTTAAAATCGTAATCATATGCTAGTCTCTAAGTGTGCAGTTAAGTAATTCAACTTTTGAATATCTGTAATAAATGTACTCAGCATCAAGACATTCCAGAATTTTCTGCTTTTGGATGATCACTGAATGTTGTGATTTCTTTGTTGTTGTCTTTAAAGGTATGTCGATGTTCAGCAACAAACAAGAATTTTAAAGGCTTACTTTGAGTATTTCAGTAAGCAGTTCAGTTGAACTGATGTAGTAACAATAGTGCTACGTTAACCGTGGAAAAAAATAGTTGACGTCAGTTACGCTTAGTTTATGAAACCGTAATCTGAGTTTATAATTTATAATCACTACAATCAGAGGTATTATTTATAATTCGAGGTTCGCGACACTTCAAGTTTCACAACAAAACATAGATAAGTAATAAGGGAGAGTAGAGGAGGAAGTTTCTAAAGAACAGCATTAAAAGTATTTCTTTATATATTTGCATAAAATATATACATATCGAAGTGCGAGTGGCTAACATATTTTTTAAATTTCAAAATTCATCACGAGATAAGAAGGAGGAGACAAAGAGCAGAAAAAGAGGAGAGGGAGATTTGATATCAACAATTTCACATCGAAAACAATTCATAAGGATGATAAACATTAAATCGAAAACAATTGTGCAATAAAACATAAAACAGGTAAGTGTGTGCGAATATTAACAACATTAGTTATTAGATATGTTTATTATAATGATTAGAGGTTTGTCATTTTCGAATTTTACCCAAATGTATTATAGGAAATTGTGAGTGAAATTCTTCGATAACATTAATTTTTGCTAGTATTTTTTGCGTTGACATCTGAGAGACACGGTCATTTACCATCTATTGACGAGAAATTAATAAACATTCGATCTCGGATAATCAGGTGATAAACTACTACCTAAGTTCGTTGTACTCAGTCATTAATGTACACCAACACGACACTAGTACTCAAACGTCTGTGTGTGTGTGTGTGTGTGTGTGTGTGTATGTGTATGTGTTGTGCATGTATGTTTGTATATGTATCTGTTATAAATTTATAGATAATACTATCGGCAGAGAGTGAAGGAATGATTTTGTCATCTTTCCTCTGTTGTCGTTAATGTCTACTTGCTTCTATTATGTATGCATATTGCATAATGCATTTCTGATGATGGCTCTTGTGTATATATGTGTGTATATGTGTGTGTGTATGTGTGTGTGTGTTTGTGTATATGTGTGTGTGTGTGTGTTGTGTGTATGTGTGTGTGTGTGTGTGTATGTGTGTGTATGTGAGGACATATACATAAATGCTTTCGTTGCCTTCGATATCCACATTTATGGTGGTTGTCGATTATTGATTGTTGTTGTTTTCAATTCACAGCTCGTTGTTCATCTAAGCATGCTGGTAGTATCTGTACAGTGGAATAGTTAGGTTAGCTGTTGTTTGACGATTCAATTCGTGTCTAGCTGCTGCTGTTCATTTATCATAAACCAAACGAATTAGCTATTTTATCATGCTTTCTGCTTCAGTAATGTATACTGATGCATTGCTGTCACTTAATAATCAGTTCTGATGTCTTTGCTGTGACATTAATTGTTTGAAAGAGATTTTGTATGAGGACTGAGTGAAGCGAAAGATGTGTGTACTAACAGTTCAGAGATCTCTGTGTTGTGGTTCTGTTGTGAGGAAGTTTAGTGGGATCTCAAGTTGAGATAACCTCTGTTCATATTGTCCTGACAAATGCGAGAGAAAGTGACTTCTCCATATGTTTAATGCAGGTTTTTTTTTTTTTACTACCGTTTAAATTATGAACTTGGAGTGAAAGCGGTTTACTTTAATGATAAGTGATAAATTATGCTGTAAGAGTATCACTTGTGTAAATGAAAGAGTATGTTAGCTGAGTAGTTTGCAACTTCTAGAAGCGGCTAACATGTAAGCAGTAGTGACAAATATTATTTTGATGGATATTATCTGTGGTAGCTATAAGGTCAACGACCGTGTCCAACCAGATAGTAGGACTATCAGAGCGCATTTTTGTTTTCTTTTGCAATAATTGCAGATTGATGAAAGTGATTGGAGTACAGTTTTTATGGGAATGAGAGCTATTAGATGAGTTTCTCGAACATAAGAGGAAATTCAGACGTTTCACATATAAATTAATCTCTTTATTAGCCCTTGTTTCCTCTTCAGGGATATGTTTTTGAAATGATATTGGGATGCAAAGCATATGCTCGGATAATTTCCTTAGGAATGTTAGCTTTGAATTTCGCGCCCACATTTTGCATACATTCTCAAATTATTTCATTCTATAAAAACATAGTTTAGAATTTGACGATGTCGGAGGTCTCATTAATTGAGGAATAAGAAGAAATAAATATGTTAAATAATAGGTAAGTGATTTTACCTGTTGGAATTTTACAAAATTTACTTGTAGAGCGGGTGTTATTTATCAATTCTAAGATGATTAGAGTCATTATTTATTAATTACTTTATTTGACTGATGTTTCAGGTCATGAAACATCAGTCAAATACGCCGAAAGCTGCATCGTTTTAGAAGTGGTTATAATTTATTATTTTTAAAAGATTTTTTTCATGACAGTCTTGATTCGTTTTTTCTGAATTTCTTCAGTTGTATACTGGAGGTGCGAGAAATGCTCGGGATGTTTTTTCCTCTAAATGGTTTTGAAATCATAATTTTTGGTAAACTTTATTATAGCAATGGAAAGCACAAAAATATTGGAAGTAGCAGGCGGTGATCAGTGGCCAGATCAAAAACGTGATATTAAGAATAAAGGAGCAATAATCAGCTCACTGGATGATCTAAAAATGATTTTCCACAATATATTATATCCGAAAGACAATAAAGCAGTTGATCAGGCATTCCAACAGCTAGAACAGAAGACACATTTGGAAAGAGAAAAGGTAATTTTAATAAATGCATGGTACAATACTTCGTGATCATTGCATTTAGAGTTTAGGAATTCCTAATCGATTATTAACGAACATATCTTGTCTCGATCGCTTTTTTCAAGATGATGACTGTACTTTTTCATGATCCGACGAAATGACTTTGAAAGTAAAACTGATTACCAAATCAAAACCCAAGTCCGTGAAATCTTTTCATAATACCGATTGAATATTAATGTGGAATTCCCTTCATGCCCTATTATCGCCTTTATATTTGTTTTGCACTACCGTTTTATTACATATATGTTTACATTGTTTTTTTTTTTAGCTTTTGGATAAAATCTCTATATTGTGGGTTCTATTGTATAGTAAACATGATAAGTTAATAGTTAAGGATTTGATTAGCTAATGTAATATTTTCCCTTGCTTAAGATGTGCCATATTTTTCACAGCTATAGTTACATTTATGCAGGTTTTTTGTCTGTAATAACTCTTATTATTAGTAACTGATATAACATATTACACTAATTTTAGATAGCTTATGCTGTCATTGCTCTTGCTGGATTATATATGGTCTTTGGAGCATTTGCTAGATTGGTGTGTAATTTTATTGGTTTCGCATATCCAGCATATGCTTCTGTCAAGGTAATTTGAAAACTACTTAATATGTGCCATATTTTTCACAGCTATATCATCAGATTTAAGACTTTCGAAGAGAATTTGGAAGATGTAGGCAATTTAATTGTTGGAATGAAGCAGAAGTTTGTGAAACTCAGAACAAGTTCCAATACTTGAGTAGTGAATTTTTCGTTAGGAAGGATGATTTTGAATTTGTGTCAGTCAGTTTCGAGTGGTGTTAAATTTCAGTGACAGGGAATATTTAAAAGTCGTAATACCTTGAATGAGAATGGAATTAGAAGATAAGAAATCATGCATTAAAAGATCAATTTCTAGGCCATTCGAACTGCTCAAAAAGATGATGATACTCACTGGCTTATTTATTGGACAGTATTCTCAGCTTTTTCATTGATTGATTTCTTTGCAGAATTAATATTGTGCTATTTTCCTGTTTATTGGATCATCAAGGTCACTTTTTTTTTGTACCAATGACAACTAATTTTTTATGCACTGAAAAGCAGTTAATGCTATGCATTAGTTATTGATCATGAGCAGATGCATTAATTTTAGCTATAAGTGGAAAAAGTAAATCATAAGGGTTGTTTACAAATTATTTTTTCAAAGTTATTTTATTAAGTCAGAAATGCGGCTACTTAATATCATTCTGCTATAGTATTTGCTTTTTTAGGCGTTATTCATGCTTTACCTGTATCTGCCGCAGACCTATGGTGCGATAGTTTTGTACAATCGATTTTTGGATCCAGCGATTACAAAAGTGGATGCTTTGCTAAAGCAGTATATGACAGAGAAAAAAGAATAAAGTAATTGATCTTTAAAAATTTTCATGTTTAATTTGAACTTCTCTTTGTTGTCATCATTTCGGTATTAGACGGGATTTCTGTTTTATAAATTCCCCTCCAAAAAAGATAAAAATAATTTACAGTTTTGCGTTCTTGTATGTACATAACTTTATTAGCTTTAAATATGTTTGAAATTACTGAACTATTTCCATTTATTCCAAAGCTCTCCCGGTTACAGAGCATTTTTTAAAGCATGTTTCCTGTATGTAATGCTGATTATAACGGGAATTTCTGTGCACTGAAATTTTTATTGAGATTAATAAATATTTCTTGGTTACTTTTATCAGTTATAGTTTGCATATATTAATGCATTAACCAATGACTTGGACTCAAGAGAAGGTGTGATTATGAAGAGAAATGCTAGCGGTCCTTTTTTTTATTATCAAAGTAAAGCTTGTTGCAGTATTACACATCTCGTTTCAATCCTTCATTTTTTTTTTCAAATTTGCAAACCTGGCTGCTAATTCATTCATTTCGAAGTTATTATCTTTAAATTTGTGAACAGAATTATATTACATGGGTAAGATTCTCTCCCATGTTCGTTCATTGTACATACCGAAATAACAGCACGTTTATGGCATGACTTATAAAACTCAACTTTGAGAATATTGTTCCGGATATTTCCATTTTGCTTACGGTGTTCATTAGATAAACGTTTTTGAGCAGAGTTCTGCCAAAAAATGTATCTGCGAGTCAATCCATCATTAGTCTAAGAGATTTCATTTTTCATCAACAATTATAATTATTCCTTCTTTCTGCGTATTGTTTATCACTCACCTTGAAATGTTGCCTCTTGGCTAAATATTGTGTCAGAAAAACAGACGAGATCGGATGTGATATGGAAGCCAAGTCCTTGGCTACAATGATTTGCTAGCCTATTTAAAGGCATACCCTGCATCCAGTGCATGTACAACACCCAAATAGTTTACATGCTAAACAGACGAGGAGTGGTATGAAGCAGCAAATGAATACGAATGATAATATAATTACAGCTAGTATTGACCTGAAATTACACTTACGAAAACTTTGAGAAGAAACTTTATTAGAGTTTATTGATAATTTACTTAAAGCAGTGATGATTAATGAAATTTTATTGTGATCTTGTTTGAAATGTACATAAACTTACAGCGTCCATGATTGAAATTCGATAGCATCATCGATTGTATCAGGTTGAGCTTCTTTCAATTTTATATAAATTGTTTTTTTCAGTTGCAAGAAATAATCTTTCATAGTTATATAGAAATAATCATGATAAGTAAGTGGTTTTTTCGATTGGTCAATAGTTGATTCATTTCTTAAGTTTTTCGCTGACGTACTGTCTTCATTCCTTATCTGATTTAAAAACATTGAGTTGGTAAAATTGATAAATCTAATAAGAAAAAAAAAATGGCAATGTAACTTTAAAAAAAAGAAAACCAGAATTCGAAAGAGCTTCGAGATTTGATTCTTATGTAAAAGAAAATTTTTGCTTTATTGCTCGAAAGTTTCTGATAGCAAAAATTACGAGAATGAAATTGTAAACTTGAAAAATGAAAATGTGATAATTTTCTTCCAGATGTTAAATTTAAGATGTAAGTTAAACTTAATTTTATCAAACCATTAGCATACTCACATCATTTGTTGCATCATTTGCAACTGATAATGCTATAAGCAGTAGTGAAGGAATAATAATAATAATAATAGTAATAAATGATTTAGAGTAAGTAGTTGCTGAAATTGAATTTTAGTATGTTAAAAAATCTCAAATTAGACAAACAATTTCATTTCGATAAGTTTATATAAATTCGGATCAATAATTTGAATTGCCTTTCGAGATATTATCACAGGAAAAAGATTAACAATAAATATTATAATTTCTTACTTTTAATTGGCTCTTATAATAGGCTGACTTATTTTTTCATTTGATTACCAGATTGTATGTTTAAATCAAAAAATAAAATATGTTCTTTTCTTTTTTGCTAAAAATATTACACTTAAAAAAACTTACCAGTCGTCATCAAATCAATAATAACAATAAAATTCAACGTCTTTCCATCTTTATAATTAAAAGTTTCTAGGAGATTTATAATATTTCATTAGAGATTTTTTTTTTAGAGAAACTATATTATTTTACAAGATTACAAGTAGCATTATTTCATAGATTGCTGAATGAAATTTCAGTAAAAATTTATTGGTTACCTTTTTTTTTTTTTTTTGATACTATTTATTATATTATATGCTGCATTTTTGATTTTTTTTTAAATGAATAAATAAATGTGAAAAAGATCTGAAAAATTTATTTAATTCTTTATGATAATAATGAATGTGACAGAATCTTAATAAACTTTTTTATTAATATATATAATTTGCTGGTAATCATAACATTTCTGTTTAATATTCTCTCTTAAAACATCTGGCATTCTTGTCTAATGCATATTTGAATGTCAAATTATTCATTGGAGGAAAGTTGTACCATTCGAGGAAGCTTTTCATATTTTTTTAGTCTAACAAAATGATTTATCATTGAATTAAGGATTGCTCTCGTGTGACAGTAAAACTAATTAACAATGTTAATTTTCAATGTCATCTTAGGTTTTCTTCCTTCTGTCCTATTATCACAATTCTTATCATAAAAAAAAAGATAAACTTCTGTGGCATCTTCCAAACAGCATTTTTGTTTGAACACTTTGAATTAATTATAGATTCATTTCAAAGAAAAAATTGTTATCATGAATTAATTATAGATTCATTTCAAAGAAAAAAAATTGTTATCATGAATTAATTATAGATTCATTTCAAAGAAAAAAAATTGTTATCACTTAATTTCATTAATTCATTATGTTATCAATGAGGAATAGAAGAATGTTACAGAAATAAGAAATGATGTTAAGAAAAGTGCTAGAATATTACTTTATTTATAGCAATTGATATAATAATATAATTTATAAATTAATAAACATTTGAAAGAATTTTTCCTGAAAATAGTTTCGATAATTAAAATAAATTTCGATATTTCCTAAAAATAAATTGTTTCAATAAATTAAAATTAATCAACTAGCTAAAAATTTGCAATGGAAATTATATAAAAAATTTGTTTTGAAATAAAGCATAGGTTGCTTTTAAGCACCTCTACAACACTTTCCGATTAAACTCATTTATATAGGATATCATATTTCAGTATTTCTTGTAGAACGATTGATTTATTATTATAAGGACCTCAATGATCATAATTAATATTATAAAATTTTTCTAAAATTTACAATTAAATTTAAAATGACAAATGACTGATATCTAATATTATAATGTATAGCACTTCATTTTATTAAATATTTTTTTTTCCAACTTTTTTTCAGATATGACACAATTATGAAAATGATTGATTGTATTATAAAATCATTTTCTTAGCACTGACAAATATGCGATGACATTAAAGATACAAGAATAATTAAATGTTTACTAGAATTAATTAAATGTTTACTAGAATTAATAATATACACAGAGAGCATATAAAAAAAAAGAATGTTAAGCATTAAATTTTATTAATTATAAATTAATATTTTATTATTAAAAAAAAAAAAAAAAGATTGCAGCCAGATTGGTTTCATTTTCCTCTTATCATCCACATTATTTTCATTTAATCAATTTGGAAAGTTTCAAGATATGGAAATAATATAAGTAGTTTAGTAATCAATTCAATGTGTTCCACCGGTAGTTCTCCACTTTTTTCCATTTCCGTAAATTTAGGAAGCGATAAACGGAGAAATTCATGCATTTTCTCGAATGGATGCTGTCCTAATGCATTTTGTCTGAAATTAAATTTTGTAAATTTTTTTTTTTAATTTTAAATTTTGAAATTAAAATTAAAATGCAATTAATGATATTATTAATGCTGTAGAAGGAAGCTTTTCTTTTTTTTTTTTTTATAACTTTATTACTTCATGCAATCTTCGTTTTCAAATAATTCATTTGGTAGAATAGTAGCTGCATGCGTGATTGCAATTGATGAAAGCTTGCTGCATGCATTCGAGAAATATTTCAATTCATTGTATTCCACCGAACAACCACGCAAATCCAAATGTCTCAACGCGCCATAAATTTGTTTCGCAGATCTTAAATTTGAATCATAATTAGCAGAATTAGTCAAAATATTACTTATTGATTTAGAAATTTAAAAATTCAATTTTAGCAGAAATAGAAGCACATAGGAATCCATTTTTCTGAGAAAAACATTGATATTCTAACTAAAATTTATCACTGAATAAATTAGACCAAATTTTGGTGACCAAAATTATTAGTTCTTTTAGAACTTTGCACTTTGTGCTTTTACTTATATCATAAATAGAAACATCAAATGATAGTCGTCTATTCCTGTTTATTTTAACTTTATTGAAATGGTTCATCATCCCATATGGATCATCTTTTTTATGAAATTTAAAATGAAATTTTTTATGAAATTTTAGAAATGCTTTAAAATTTAATACTGAAATTTAAAAGGAAACAAACTTTCTTGTGAACAATTCTATATCTTGCAAATCCCATAGATGTAGTGTACAAATAGGCTGAAAATGAAGCGTACGTAATGTAAAGTTAGGTATTAGACGCAACATATTGGCAATTTCTTTACGTATAGTATGCAACGAATATTGATTCGTTTCATAAGCAATTGAAAAAGCTTGCTTCATCACTGCACCTACGTGAAAATCCGTGTAAGTCTTCCAATATAATTTTAATGCCTGTAACACGTGAACGTGATCTAAGTTCAAGTAAACGTTAACATAAATTTAAGTAAACGTTAGTGATATCAATAGCTATGTATTTTAAAACAACAACTAAATAAAAAAAAAAAAAAAAAAACGAGTTTAGTAATTTATAAAATGAAATTATCAGAATCGATCGATTTCTTACCGATCTAGCAGCTCTGCAAGTATCAGAGAAATTTTTTTGTTCATAGATATTTAAGTTAGATGCAATTTTTGATAATAAAATTATCGGTAATTGTTGTAAGGTAGGTAATGCCATGTCATATTCCATTATAATTGCTTCTTGTATGTTATTTTGTGAATGCAAAAAATTTCAGAATTTTAATTTCCATCTTTCAAATAAAAGAAAAATCAAAAAAACATTCTAAAAGTATTTTTTTTTTTTAATGAATTTCCTATTCTTCCAAAAAAATTTATATTAAAAGAAATTCATAAATTAAATTTTCAATTGTTTAATTACTCTTGAAAAAAGTTCAGCAAAATAAACTCGAAAATAATTGGAATTTTTAGAAAATTAAACAGAATTTTTGAAATATTAAAGAAATTTTTGCACGAATAAATTTTATTTGAGTAAATAAAAATGTATTATTTTTATTTCAATTTGATTATTTCAACAGACTATTGGACATGTTTTTTAGTTATCTATTCGCTTTTTCAATCATTATTATTTAATTTTTGTTAATTTTTTTAGTATAATTCTCATTTTTAGCAAAAGTATTTCCTGTATATTAGTTACTGCTCATAAATTTACTATTAATTTCAAAAATTTTATGATTTTAAAATGTGATATTTGTGTGCAAATTGTTTTTGATATGATAATTATTATCCTTTTTAAAGTTATTTTGCTAGTATTTATAAAAAAATTTCATTACTTTAGAATTTCAAAAAATGATATTTTATCAAAATTTAATTTGAGAATTAATACTGTAACACAGTTTATAAGTACCATAAAATTGAATTATATGTAGCAGTCATATTGATGCATTACTAGGGATAATTATATATGGGTAAGTCGGAATAAGGGCAGGTAAGTTGGAATAAGGGTAAGTCGGAATAAGGGCAAGTAAGTTGGAATAAGGGCAGGTAAGTTGGAATAAGGGTAAGTAAGTTGGAATAAGGGCAGGTAAGTTGGAATAAGGGCAAGTAAGTTGGAATAAGGGCAGGTAAGTTGGAATAAGGGTAAGTCGGAATTCTATTTTAAAACAAAATAATAATTATCCTTAAAAAGAAGAAAATGGTCTTTAGAGTCTTAAAAATGAACAAATTTTTTCTCAAAATAAAAACAAATTGGAATGAAAGTAAGCGAACACATACCGTCTACCAAATGTTAGATTATTGAAATAAATTTTTTTTGTAAATTTAAAAAGTTTTAAATGAAATATTTAATATTCTTTTCAATATCATTCTTGAGAATTATTGAATTTTCATTTACTTATTTGAATCGCTATGGAATTCTTTGTTCTATGCTTAATTTCTGATACATTTTACATTGCTTATCATTCCTTGTTTACTGGTTAGCGATGAAATAAGAAATAGCAATTAAAGTAATTCTAAATTTTAAAATATTTTATTTTTTTTCAATGTTTAAAATATGAATTAAAAAAAAATTCTTTCACAATTGGATAAAGAATGAAAAATGGAAAATTTTCAATTCAAATATTTTCATTAATTCTTCTCCTAAATTATACTTAAATACGATCCATAATTGATAAATTAAAGTTATAAGAAATGTTTTCTTCAAATGCAAAACTTTCATATTAATCAAAAATGTTTGGATAATTTCTTTTTTTTTTTATTAGCAACCTCTAATCTATAATTAGCAAATAGTGAAAATATCCTAAAAAGTTACATAATTGATAAAACATCACAATGGGAAAAAAAAAAGCAAAATTTAAATTATGGAAAAGTTAAATGTACCAATTTTAATTTCATTTTTTTGTTTTGTAAATTATCATCGCTTCTGATAGACTTATGAAAATGAATTTAATTTTAAAATGAAAAAGAAATAATTTAAGTAATTGGACTGATGAAATTCTCATAAACAGTATAGTATATCGTCACAGAACACATTTTAACTTTTAAATTTAGTAATCTCGTCCACTTCTTATTTTTAATTAATATTCTAATTTATTTATTCAATCAATTATTTTTTTTTAGTTTACTTAATGAAACTATCAATAACTTTTAGTTTTTTTTTTTTTAATTAAATTAATGTTTTTTTTTAAGTTTCAAAATGATAACAAACGGTTAAGCATTCCTCATCTTTCTACCAGTTTACATCTATTGAAAAATAACTTACACTTTGTTAGTACCTTTTTATTTTTTAACTACTATCTCAACATTTATCACTATGATAAACTAGTAGGCAGTGATTAATTAACTAGGCTCAATTTTCCAAGCCTCAAACCTTCAAGCCTTAAATTTTCAAAATTCATATGCCTAAGTGATAAACGAATGTCTTAGATATACATTTCAGTGATATCAATATTGTCTGTGATCAATCCCTGTAATACAGGGTAATAGTTACCCGCCTGTAATACAGGGTAATAGTTACCCGACACACTGCACTGTACGTATGTCTATGTATGTGTGTATGTCTGTATGTGTGTGTGTATGTGTGTATGTCTACGTCTGTCTGTCTGTCTGTTTTTGTATGCACTTAAATATATCTAAAAACCAGTTTTGAATCTATCTTATACCTAAAAATAGCAAAGATTGTTGAATGGTTTTCCTTCTCGATGCAAATCTTTAATTTGTGACAGAAATGTTTGTATGAGAACTTGTTGTGATGCTGTGGAATGTATCGGACAGGTAGGTACAGCAATCTTCAACGTATCTTCGTCCTCTCCTCGCCATTACTGTTATTGTCAACTGTCGCGGAATTGTCACCCCCAATAGATGATGACATTTTATTGGCGCAAATATCGATGCAAGGATATAGTAGCTATCATCTATTACTCTTATACTTTTTTTTCATCTTCAAAAAATATTTCCTTTTGCGCATTATTCCATAAAAGCTGATTTAATTGCCTTAAAATTTAGATATATGTTAGTTAAGTCACACTGTCATCATCTAAGCATTTTATCATTTTATCTTTTTAATTATATCGTTTTAACGATGAACGACTGTGGAAGAGTTTTAGAAATTTATGAATATTCAGAGATGTTAGATTTTTAAATGTTAAATTCACTTTTAGTGGAGAGATGGAAAGCAATATTATAATATATTTATATATCTTTCAATTATGCATAAATTATTAATGTCGAAATTAAATTTTATAATTATGTTTTATTCATTTGCAAAAACAAATAATTGAAATTGTTTTATATAAAAGTTTTATAGCAAAAACTCTTAAATATTATTTTTTTTTTTTTTGAAAAAAATTCTTCCTATCAAATTAGAATGTCATTTCTATTCATACTATTTGCTATTTTATTCCATTTCTAGCAAAATTTCTTGTTAAAACAAAATTAGTACTTATATCACATTTCTATTCATTATCGATATGATAACATTTATCTTTTCTAGAATAAAATTTTTAAGGAACTTTATGACTTTTCTGAATAAATACCAAATAATTAGTGTAACAGTGAACAGAATCTTTAGAGAAAGTTTTTTTTTTGAAATAAAAACTTCTTAAAAACTTTTTGAAATGAAAATATTAATTAATCGGAATGTTCTATGGTAGAAATTTTGCATAATGGTTAAATAGTTCATTTGTTTAATTTTTTTAATAAATAATTGAGGTTTTGAGTGTGAAATATTGAGCGTTGTAAAATGTGAAATGAATTGGAATGTCATTTTTTTTTGTGAATTATCAATTAATATTGCTAATAATTAGCTTTCTTTTGAATTTATTTTAATGTATTTTAAAAATGTAAAATCATTTTATTCTTATCCATATGTATTGCATCAACAAATTTTTTTGTGTTAAACAAATTTATTGCAAATTTTGACCTACTTTATGACTAATTAGCTCAAAATAATTTTGCTGAGCAGAAAAAAAAAAAGAATTTTTTTTAAAATTATATATTTTGGAAAATTTCAATGTGTAGAAGAAAGTATTATTATTTAAATAAAATAATTGAACTGAAATGTTCAATCTTTGTAATCTAATAAAATTCACATTAAGAGAGGTGGAATTTCTGAAAGATGAAAAAAGGTTAATTGAAAAAGTTATTACAGAATTAAAGTTATAAAAAAGCCATTCTTGGGATTACTTAGATAATGAATTCTTAAATTTAATTTACATAAACTTCATTTAAATTCTAATTTAATAAAGTATCAAATTTTATAGCTTAAAAATAATGCATTGAATTAAATGGTTTACTTTTCTGTTTTGTAATATCGTAATTTTGAGGATAATTTTAATATTATGCATATGGATTAAATTAAACTAAAACAATTTTCATTAATATTTGGTCGTTTTTTTTAAAAAAAAAAAGAGCTTTTTTTCTAAACTTTTTGAAAAATTATTCCGATTTAAAAAAAAATAAAATAAAATATACGATATGACGAATGTGAAGTTTGCAAAAATTAACAAATTATTTTTGTTTACTTTGAAATGAATATTTTAAATTAAGGAAAGTCAATTTTAACGACATCGAATGGAGCAGTGTTACGATTCGAACTATTATTGCTAATGTGTCAGTTATGGATATTGTTCTTACTTATCATTTTACGAATAAATGGCGGAAATACGACCAATTCGAATTTATCACAAATGCGCATTTGTCAACTGAGATGTGTCGCCAAATGTGTCATCGACGATAAGGTATTATATTATAATAATTGTACCATTATTTTTCTTTCCCACAAGTGTGAAATGTTAATTTAATTTGAATTAATTACTTAGAGAGATTTTCTAGCATAGATTTCGTTTTTGTGTTCATTTGAAACATATACTAAAGTATATTGAAATGTGAAATAATATTTAATGGTATCAATCATTGAGTACATTTTCAATTTAGCTTAGCTAATAATCAGAAATAATTTAATTTAAAAAAAAAGCAATTTTAAATCTTAGAATTAGCTTATTTCATGTAGACTAATCATGTATTTAAAATGAAAAGTTTTTTTTTTTTTTAATTGCGTATTTTGTTTATAATTTCACAAAGTTTTTCAGTTGTTTTTAAACTTTAAATTCTTTAAAAAAAAAAAAATTTTAAAAAGTGCAAATAAAGACTAATTTTGCAAAATTGTTTTTATATTTTAAACAAAAAGAAAAAAAAAACTGAGATTAAAATAATTCAATAAGAAAAGAACAATTATTTTCAGCAATCTTTAAAATATTGTGAAGAACAATGCATGAAGAATATGGCAAATGACCTTTGCGTGAGTTTAAAATTTTTTTTTAAATTGATAAATAATATATCTGAAAAAGCTCTTCTTCCATTCTTTAAAAGAATATTTAAAAGAGGACAAAAATTTACAACTTTAAATTGACCCCTATTCGAATAGATCATTTATTTTCCTTTATCACTACCATTTCAATTTTGATTTTAGTCTTTCATCTTTTTTCTTTGCTATCTTTTACAGTTATTAACTTTATGTTTGATAGGATAAAAAATTAATTTTCTCATTTTAAGTTTTTTAAAAATTTTTTTTTAAGTTTATAATTTTATTCAACTTAAATTGATCTTAATGCGGAAAAAAATAAAAAGTAATATTGTCAAACACGTACGCTTGCTGTTAATACGTACACTCACTCATTATTTTTTAAAAAACAATAATAAAATTTTGAAAAATGGTAACAAATTAAAATTTCAAAATGAAAAAAAAAAAAAAAAGAAAAGTGAAGAAAGCATTATAGAAATATTACTTAGAATTTATAGAATGATAAGATTGAAGACAAGAAAATTTGCTGGGAGACATGTGATGGTAATATAAACGAAGGACCAAAACCTGAAATACCGAAAGATATTAAATGGTTCTATACACCCTCATATTCCATCAATATTACTTGGATTGGTGATGGAACATTGTATTTGTTGAAAATGATCAAAAAAATTGGGAACAATGAGTATAGCTATCATTTTGTAAGTTTTTACACTCTCATTTTTTATATGCTTCAACAAATTTAATACTTTCATATGAGTTTTTGTTTTTGTTTTTGTTTTTTTCCTGGCAGCTAATTTTTATTGTTGAAATTATTTAGAAAATGTTAACTTTTAAATATTGTTGAATATATTGTATAACTTTTAAATATTATATAATAACTTTTAAATATATCCGATATAAAATGTAAGATAGAATAATTAAAATATAATTAAGGCATTGATAGTTACCAATGGATGTTAGTAGTATTTGTCTTGTCGCATCGCATTTATTTTATTTTATTTTATTTACCTGTTTAACTGTGAGAAAGAGAAATAAAGAAAAAGCGAGAAGAGATGAGCAAAATTTAGTTTTAAAATATTTTTCATTTACTTAAACAATTTTAACAAAAATTTGATAATTTATAAATACTCTTTTAGTAGCTTCGAAATGTTTGGAATTTTCTGAAAATGAAAAATAAAATTTGTTAATTTAATCTTTTGCACTAAACAAATCTCAGATTGACTATATTGAAATTTAAATTTAAAAAATTTAAAATTTTGAAAATGAGAATAATTTTCTCATTTTCAGCTTACAACAACAACAACACAGCTAAATTATACGAAATCTGAAACAAATTTTTGTAATCCATTGCTATTCCAACTTGCATCAGTGACAACTGCAGGAATTAGCAATTTTAGCAATGTGCAAGAAATACCTGCAAGTTCACCTGAAATTATAGAAAATTTAACTGTCAAATCTATGGAATATATTGTAAGTTAAATTTTAATTTTATCAGTTTAAATATGTTTTTTTTTTTTTAAATAAATTTCTACAAGAATATCCAATATTTGTATTTATAAAAATATTTGTAATTTTGTTAAAAATGCAAAGTTAAAAAAAAAAAATCTATGATAAAATTATTACTTTTATATTTTTGCTGAAAAGAAAGTTGCAGTGATGTGTGAAGTAGAATTGTTTTCGAAATTTTCAAATTTATTAGAACTCTTCGATCATTTTTTTTTTTTTTTTAAACAACTGTAAAATCAATTATGAACTATAAAGGGATTCTCATGGATGACTTTACCTTAAAATCTTTTTTAAAATTTTCATTTTACAGAATCAATCATTCAGCGAAAGTGGTTATTACTCTAATGGAACTATCAAATTAATTTTACAGTATGCAGCACCAAAATATAGTAAATATATTTTATTTTGTAGCAATCTGTTGCATTTGTTTATTTTTTTATGAATTATTTTCCAAACATTCTTATTGCTCATTGCGACTAATTTGTGCAACAATAAGTCAATAAATGGAAGATAATTAATTTATTTAATTTAAAATTGTTTCCAATGGAATTCACTTCAACTTACACTATCTTAAGTCATTTTAAGAATTGACAAAGTTAAAAGCTCTTTGTTATTTCATTAATTGTAGTTTAAATTTCGATGATAAAAATGATTCAAAATATTTTGGATTTTAGATTGGCCATTGGGTGAAAAGGATATAAAAATAGATTTACTCTTCCATATGGTTAGTTGTAATATTCCCGATTTATCAAAAGCAGTACCAGCTCCAGAATTCGTTAGTTTTACTTTTCACTCTTTTTTTTAAAACTTCTTAAAACTTATTAAGCAAGTTTTAAATGAATTCAACGTTGTGAAAAGTTTTTCTCCACCTCTGACAAAAGTCAAAAATATATTTTCAACTAAAGGATAATTCATATTTGACAAAGTATGACAAAAATGTGACAATGTACTGGAACTGAAGATAAGAACCTCTGTCACGGAAATTTGTTTTTTTAGGAAAGAAGTGAAGAGCCACGAACTTTGGTTGCTGAATTTGGCGCTGATTTAATGTATCGTAAATGTCAATTCTTGTATTATGTTAGTGGAGTTCAGAGTTATCGTTGTGGTACCACAAAAACAAACAATGATTTTAATCAAAATTCGATGAAACCATTGAAAATAAGTGAGTTCTTTATCGAACACAATTCAAATGGTAACATCGAAAGGATGAAGTTTACTAGTTAAATAAAAAAATTAAATTCAGATTTGTGAATTTAGTGAAATAGTAAAGTGTGATTTTCCAACAATAATTCAGAAAGTGATTTGTATAATTTAAATTGGAAGAAGTTTTATTATCATTATTTTCTTGAATTCCTTCCAGAATTCAGATTAAATATAAGTAAATAATAAATAATTTATCAGTTGAAAATAATCTATCATTTACAATTAATCAATTATCCATTTTTATAGTTGAAATTTTTGATAAAGTTTGAATATTTGTATTTGAGATTGTGCTACCGTACTGAATAGTCCATGTGATGATAAACCGTTGACACATCATCCACCAATGTGCGGTCAAGTAGAGGGATTTACCTATAGTATTCTCAACGATCATATTAATCCGGATGACGTAAATAGCAATATAACTGTCAACGTGACATTCCGGTCCACGTTAATGAACAAAAAACCACTTTATTTTGTAGCTTTTTATGGTGATGCTGAACCATTTAATCGAGAAATTGATGTTAGCTTCTTTTGTTTACTTTTCATTAATATTAGGCGCAAATGTTTTTAATATTTGAACATTATTACTTTCTTTATTCAACTTTATACACAATTTAGCCACTTAAAAATAGACAGATACATATGAAAAGTGTATTAAATAAGCTTATTATCACTAACTTAATCATCTTATCATTCTTTATTCATGTACAAATTTGCTATTTGGAATTACTTTCAATCTACTTCTGAAGAAAATATTATCTAAAACTCATACTTAACTAAACTTACATTACTTTAAACATCGATTTGATGTTGAAATTACGATATTAGATGAAATACAAATAAGTATATTTTATTCGGTTTATCATTTATCACAAGAAATATCTCTAAATAGCTTCTTTACAGTTTTTTTTTTTAAATAAATGAATGCTCTAAATTACAGGTAGAATTGCTTGGTGTTAATATGCGCCATATTTTGGGTAATGCAACAAATTGTCCAAAATTTAACAGTAATGGCACATGTGCGGTAAATTTTAAGTCTACTTTCTTTTTTTTTTTTTCATTTAACTTAAATGAATATAAAAAGTTGAAAAGTTTTTTTTTTTACACTGACAACTTTTACTTGTATTGATTAATTGATCGATCAAATTGAGTGATCAATTGAATGATCATTTATCTATTTTACTTTTTATTGTTTCATTTATATTTTGAATTAAATCAGGCAAAATTGAATCTCGTAAATGCATCGATAATAATAACAAATTTACAAATGAATAAATTATACGGTGTGACAATATGCGCTGTTATCGACCCTCATAATTTGACATACCCAGAAGTAAGCGGTGTTGCACTGGGCATGAAGTCAAAAGCTAATAGAATATTTATTGATTCTGCAGGTTTATCATTACTTTTTCCCTTTTCATCTATGATAATAAGCATTTTTATCAGGAAACTGATATTATCACTACTTTAATATATCACTCAATTCTAATCTGTTGAGAAGAGTGAATTGATAAGCAGTAGCAACACAACGAATACTTTATCACTTATCATTTGCTGCATGTCTATCTATCTGCTTATTATTTATCAAACTTTATAATTCATCTTCTTGATTCTTGAAAAAAAAAAAAATTTTTTTTTTTTGCTTGCATGGCTGAATTTTCTTATCTAAATTCTCTTTTTCTTTCAAATGGTATTTTCAGCATTTAAAAAACAACGTCCAGGCTTATTAACAGGACTTATTGCTGGCAGTACGGCAACTCTCTTATTGCTTCTTGTTGGCACATTTATTTGGATTCAGCGAAAACAAAATGCTAAAGTGAAAATGCATCAGCTAAAGCTCGAACAAATGAAATACAACAACGATTTAAGATATACTAATTTACCAAAAAAGTTAGTTGTAATTAAATTTTTGAAATAAGTTATTGCCATACCTTCAAATAGAGCTTCTAAAATTTTCGAAAATTTAATGTCAGAGGCGAGAAATGTTTTTCATACAATTTGAGAATAAAACATTAATTAAGTAAATGAATGAATCAAATTTGTGTGAGTATTAGAATAAAATAAACTGACATTTGATCAATTTTAGAGAAACAGAAGTACTTTTCTTGATTGCTTACACATAAAATTTTGAATGTAAGGTAATCTTAAGGTGTAAATTCAATAGATAAAAGAATATCACCGTCATTTCGTTCTCATTTTTAAGTAAATGATAAATAATTTAATCAGTAAATGCTAGCTATTATCGAAATCCATATTATCACCAGCGCTTTCTGTAGCTTTGCTAGCCTAAGATCTACTTTATCAGTTTCTTATATCTGTAATTTTAAATGACTAGTAATTTCTCTTATCTGCTGGTTTAAAAAAAATTGAGCTTAAAAATTCGACAAATCAGATAAGAAATAATTAAAAGAAATGATATTCTAACAAATAATAATGTAAATATATATAAAGACAAGATATATGGGAATTAGAGCGTCGAAATCTCATTATTTACGATGATCAAAAGCTTGGTTCGGGTGCATTTGGATCAGTTTATAAAGGTCGATTGATTGGTATTGCAAAAGGAAATAAAAATGCTCAATCTACCTTGGGTATTAATCTGATGAGAGCCGAGAATTGTGATGTCGCAGTGAAAAAATTGCTAGGTAAGGAGAAATGTTTACATAAAATTAGTATTACTCACTCACTCACTCAAGGAGCTTTCATCTTCATTTGACCCTCACCTAAAAATGTTTGTTGCTTAGAGAACTGTGCTTTATGTTTTGTCGCGTAAGCTTAATTTAAATTCTTACTAACTTCAGCACCTAACTATTCAATTTCACTTCAACATCAAAAATTCTTGTATTTGTGTAGAAGTGAAAAGGTTATTTAATTTAAGGTCTGTAACTATTTGTAGGTTTGTCTTCCTAAGTAATATATATCCATCAGGTAAATATTTGTTGAAGTATTATTGTTGTTCTGTTTTAGTGAAAATATCAGTCGACTAATTGACAATGAAATTAAATGATAAATTAAAATTGCTTCATTTCATTTTCTTCATCCTACGGACATACTTTTTTCTTACTAAAAGTTTTATTAAAGACAAAATTATTAAATCATTATTAGTTAATATAATTTGTTTCTTGACATTGAATAGTAAACAAACGAAGTGAGTAAGAGTTTATGAAAATACATTGAAATAATAAACTTTTGATTCTTATTTAAAGTACTTAGCAATCTTTTTAATACACTTCGCTCTTATTCATTTTAACTTTAAAAAAATATGTTTAATCAATAGGGCAATGATTTTTAAATGTTGCAACTTTGTAATTGCAATGCACTCTGTGTTTTGACTTTACAAAAAAAAAAAAAAGTATTAACTCTAAATTTTAATGAAAGTTATTTCAATTTTTTTTTTAAAAATTTTGATGTAATTTCAGTTTTTTTTAGCATAGCAAAGAATTTCATTAAGAATTTTTTCTTAATAAATTAAGTTTTTTTCTTTGTCTTTTACTCATTTTTAAAATAAAATTTTCCAAGTTCGTTATAATTTCAAATAACTTTAATATTCCTTCTAATAGCTGCTAGTTCATTTCGATGCATTTACCATCATCCATGCGCTTAATTTGGCTTAACTAATTTAAATGATAAATTTCATCATTCGATATCTTATTATCATCAATATTATCACAGTTTTACATACTAAAGTTGAATTTAACATCATATCAATCACTAAGTGATAATCATTGTTATCAGTGCATGGCTATCATCCTTGTATAAGCTCTTTCATACGATGATAAGAATTCTTCTGGAAGCATACATTTATACACATATTAAAGTGCGAAATGTTGTTCTATCTTTTGCAATCAGTGATAAATCACTTTATCACTGATAACACAATGATAAAGTGATTGTTTCAGAATATGCTGATCAACTATCGAAAAGTGAATTCCTGAATGAAATTTCATTGATGAAAACATTGGGTTATCACGAACGATTAGTCAATATGTTGGCATGTATCACAGAAACAGAACCTTATTGCTTAATTGTTGAGTACTGTTCAGATGGCGACTTGCTACATTTCTTGAGGAAACGATGTGCTTATATGATAAAGGTAGTGATTATATGATAAAGGTAGTGATTATATGATAAAGGTAGTGATTATATGATAAAGGTAGTGATTATATGATAAAGGTAGTGATTATATGATAAAGGTAGTGATTATATGATAAAGGTAGTGATTATATGATAAAGGTAGTGATTATATGATAAAGGTAGTGATTATATGATAAAGGTAGTGATTATATGATAAAGGTAGTGATTATATGATAAAGGTAGTGATTATATGATAAAGGTAGTGATTATATAATAAAGGTAGTGATTATATGATAAAGGTAGTGATTATATGATAAAGGTAGTGATTATATGATAAAGGTAGTGATTATATGATAAAGGTAGTGATTATATGATAAAGGTAGTGATTATATGATAAAGGTAGTGATTATATGATAAAGGTAGTGATTATATGATAAAGGTAGTGATTATATGATAAAGGTAGTGATTATATGATAAAGGTAGTGATTAATTTAAATGAAAAACTTTTGCAAGATTGCTTTGATAAAGTAGTGATTGAAATACGATAAACAATAATCTATTATTTGATAAAAAAAATTTTTAAATGTCATAGCGTTAACGAATGCTTATCATTGTTTTTTGTTTTTTTATAGCTTACCGAAATGGGTATCGATTATGATGAACCAAATTTGAATGAAAAGATTGATCAGGACTTAGTGATAACACTTAAACAATGATTAATGTTTGCTGTACAAATTAGCTATGGCTTGGTAAGAAATATTTATATTAATCATTGAAATTCATTTAATTTCATTTGTTTATATATATTTCATTCAAAAATTATATTTTTACTGACAGCACTTTTTCCCTGTAAAAATTTTATATTAAAACTTTCATTAAAAAATTTTCAGTTAAAATTTTTGCTAAAAATAGGAATTATAAAAAGACGAGAGTTATATTGATAAATTATTAGATTAAATCGAATTAAATTTCAATTTTTAATTTCAATATAGATTAATTAATGTAATTATTATTGGTGAAAAAGGATTATTTTTTTAGGATTACCTTAGTCAGAAAGGTTTTGTGCATTGCGATGTCGCGGCACGTAATATATTGGTGCATGATAAGACAAATGCAAAAATTGGTGATTTTGGCTTGTGTCGATACATTTATCGTGATTCTGCCAACTATAAAAGTAAGGGTAGACGATTATAGGTGAAATGGATGAGCCCAGAAGCTATCAAACATTATGAATTAACTATGCAGTCAGATGGGTTAGCATTATATACTTCTTGGCAGCTATTAAATTGTAATATACTTAGTAATTATAAGGTTAAATTAGCATTAAATACTTCTTGGCAGCTATTAAATTGTAATATACTTAGTAATTATAAGGTTAAATTAGCATTATATACTTCTTGGCAGTATTAAATTGTAATATACTTAGTAATTATAAGGTTAAATTAGCATTAAATACTTTTTGGCAGCTATTAAATTGTAATATACTTAGTAATTATAAGGTTAAATTAGCATTAAATACTTCTTGGCAGCTATTAAATTGTAATATACTTAGTAATTATAAGGTTAAATTAGCATTAAATACTTCTTGGCAGCTATTAAATTGTAATATACTTAGTAATTATAAGGTTAAATTAGCATTAAATACTTTTGGCAGCTATTAAATTGTAATATACTTAGTAATTAAGGTTAAATAGCAAAATACTTCTTGCAGCTATTAAATTGTAAAATTAGTAATTATAACTTAAATTAGCATTAAATACTTCTTGGCAGCTATTATTGTAATATTTAGTAATTATAAGGTTAAATTTTTAAATACTTCTTGGCAGCTATTAAATTGTTTACTTAGTAATTATAAGGTTAAATTAGCTTAAAATTGGCAGCTATTAAATAATAAATTAGTAATTATAAAAATTAGCATTAATACTTCTTGGCAGTATAAACTTAATATACTTAGTAATTATAAGGTTAAATTAGCATTAAAACTTCTTAGCTATTTTGGTAATATATTTATATATAAGGTTAAATTAGCATTTAATTTGGCATATTAAATTGTATATACTTAGTAATTAAGGTTAAATTATATTTTTACTTTTGGCAGCTATTAAATTGTAAATATTAGTAATTATATTAAATTTATTAAAAAAATTTTGGCAGCTTAAAATTGTTTATAAATAGTAATTATAAGGTTAAATTACATTATATATTATTAGCTATTAAATGTAATTAAATTTAATTTTAAGGTTAAATATAGCATTAATTACTAATTATATTAAATTGTAAAATGCTTATAATTATAAGGTTAAATTAGCATTAAACTTTTTGGCAGCTATTAAATTGTAATATACTTAGTAATTATAAGTTAAATTAGTATTAAAATTGGCAGCTATTTTGGCTTAGTAATTATAAGGTTAAATTAGTATTAAATACTTTTTGGCAGCTATAAATTGTAATACTTAGTAATTATAAGGTTAAATTAGCATTAAATACTTCTTGGCAGCTATTAAATTGTAATATACTTAGTAATTATAAGGTTAAATTAGCATTAAATACTTCTTGGCAGCTATTAAATTGTAATATGCTTAGTAATTATAAGGTTAAATTAGCATTAAATACTTCTTGGCAGCTATTAAATTGTAATATACTTAGTAATTATAAGGTTAAATTAGCATTAAATACTTTTTGGCAGCTATTAAATTGTAATATACTTAGTAATTATAAGGTTAAACAAGCATAATAGCTATCATAAAACGATGAAATGATGGATAGATTTGTTTATTTGATACAAAATTTATTGAACTAAATTGATCTTTGACAGAATTTTCCTTTTCTTTTCGTCTTTTTTTTTCTGGGCATTTAAATCAGGAATTTATAAATAAAAAAAAATATATAAATGAAACACTTCAAAATTTCCAATAAAAATATGGCATAAATTTTAGTTGGTCATTTGGCATATTAATGTTTGAAATTGTTACACTTGGCGGTTCACCATATCCAGGCATACAACCGGATGATATTTTGGATCATTTGGATGCCGGTGGACGAATGGATCAACCGGATAACTGCCCTAATAACTAGTAAATTTATTTTTATTGAAAAAAAAAAGTTTTTTTTTTTTTTATTTAAGAAAGACTTCACAAAAAAAAAAAAAAAAAATAACTTCAAAGAAAGTAAAAGAGAACAATTCGATTTTTTTCTTATTTTTGAAAAAGAAAGGATTTATTTTTAATATTATTTTGAAAAAAAAATATAAATCCCATTATAGTTATGAAGTAATGCGTAGTTGTTGGGCACAAGAACCATCGATGAGACCTGATTTTGGGACTATTCGACAAAAATTAGCTAGCCAATTGGAAGATATTACAGATCAGTATTCATATTTAAAGCTAGATAATCAACGGGATTATTATAATGTAGTATATGATACTGATATCTTGGTATGATTTTTTCTTGGCTAACTTTTATATGTAACTTTATGATTAGACTTAAACACTCATAAAAAGTATTTACTAATATAGAGCCAGAGCTGTGCCAGATACATAAGTTATCTGTATAACAAGAAATTCCTAAATGAAAATAATTATCTAATTATCTTATCATTCATATCTTTATTCTATCAACGCATCTTCTGAACATGGTTATAATATTAATTAATTGCTTAATTAATTAATTAATTAATCAATCCTTATCTCTTCTAATTAATCTTTATATAAACATAATAAAATTAAGAATTTTTTTTTTCCTATTTGATTACTTACTGTTGTATGTTCGCAGAAAGATACTAAAGGAACGGTGGAAAACGATTCGGAAGCTGAAAAATTTGAAGTTGAAAGGATGAAAAGGAAAGATATACTCGATAATGCTCTTCCGATCGATGTACAGGAAGATCACCGTGATAAGACATCATCGTTGCCAAACAGTACTGAAACTGTTAGGGATAGAAATGTTATCAGTAATGGATCATAGAGAATGTGATTTGATAAGGTGAATGATTGCTGAGATATAAATTAAAGTAATAAGCTAATCTAAATATTTCTTTTTTAATTAATCGAATAAGATTAGCAAGTGGTCAAGTGCATTACATTTCTTTGGTAATATTAACAAACACAAGGATAAAGGTGATAAAAAATTTGTTTAATTTAGTTGAGAATAAGTTATAATTTAACTCAAACTAAAGACTAAACAGGTAATTAATTGTTCTGTTCCACCTCAATAAATGATGGAAGAAAATTTGATATATCATTTATAAATATGTATTGTAAATAAATAATAAAAAAAAAAATGGTAAAAGTTTTATTTATGCTCTTTCTCGAACTTATCATCTTATAATCTTCCAAATAGTTTTAATTCATCAAATTAGCATTTTAACTAAATGTTTGTTTCTTCATTGTTGCACAAAATTAATTGACTTAAAAAAAAAAATTTAAGTTAAAAAAAAAAAAAATGAATTAATTCAATCTAATCTCAATGGTTATTCCCTCTTATTAATGCAGAATTTCATTGACGCATTTCATTTTATTAAAAATAACTTCGTTTCTTCTGAATGATAATTCATCACATAAATTTTAATAATCTTTAACTTACTTAAGAAATTTCAGAAGATAGGAATGAAATAAACACGAGAACTGAGTAAATGATGATTTTTAAGTAAAATTGAGTAAATGATGATTTTTTTCTTGCCTAAGTATGACTAAAATTCAATTCTTCACTAACAAAACATTTCTCTATGGCATATTTGAATTTACATATCACCACGATTACATGCGATATATCAAATTGTTATCAGTGATCTTTATTTTAAATTTTGTGACTTGAAAATAATTCTATCGCTTTATGCTATCTTAAATTCATTAGACGAAATTAACTGAGTAAGATGTCATAAACAATATTTATATTTTATACAGCAAAAAAAAAAAAAAAAAAAGGACATCTTGATGAAATTAATGTAAAATTTCAATCAACAATCAATAAAACGTATCGAATGCGTGAAAAAAAAAAAAACGTGAACAAATTCACGAAATAAATAACAATGTTATGAATTCATAAGCATAACATATCACAATGATAAAAAAAAAAAAATTATTAATAATCAATAAATTTAATAGATTTTTCATTTTTCAAAAATTTTATGTAAAAAAATAGTAATAAAGTAATGAGAGCTATGACTTAATTATGCACTATTAGCTCAATTTCACTGTGACTCCTCTAAAAATCATTTAATTGAATAAATTGGAGAATATTTTATTAAAAAGAGATAATAATAATAATAATAATAATAATTAGTTCTTCTAAGAAAAGCAATAATATAATATAATATAATTTTATTGTTTATAAATTGAAAGTTTGAAAAGTATTTACGAAATAAGAAATGTATGATAAAAAAAAATATACAAAGAAATTAATTTCGACATAATAAGAACTATCAATTTTAAATACCGCAACGCATAAAACAATTTTTTTTTAAAAAAATAAAATGGTAATACAACAATATTACGAAGCTTTGCTCGTACAATAAACTAATAGAAATGCATTTGCTAGAACAATAGTAAGTAAGCATTGATATAAGGAACAAATTAAAGATTTTTGCCCATATACCGTCAAAAATTAATACAATTTGTAATAGTACTAACGAATAAATAACAATTACTTCAAATTTATAATACATTTTATTGTCGCATTTTCTTTGAAGACAAACATTTGAAAGGAAATTATTTGAAATGAAAAAAAAAAAGAAATATTTCTAACTAATTGAAACGATGAAATTCTTCTAAAACTTTGATCCTTAACTTACTTTCAATAAATGAAATCTCAAGTAATCATGTGAAGTACAAAAAAAAAAAGAATAATGCAATTTAGTAGAAATAATTAATAACTTACGAATCTTTTTTTTTTTTTTAATACTTGAAAATGCACCTTTCACAAGATATTAATGAAAAAAGTATAATAAATAGAATTTTGCATAACCGTTTAAACTGGATTAAATCAACTTTCTATGCTTGATTAGATCATTCCGGTTAATTTGATGTAAATCGTGAAAAACAAGATCGTGAAAATATATTGTCGTTATCCTCGATTTTCCTAAAATTTTTCTATTTTGAATCAAATAAACACTCTTTTTATGATAGCTAAGAATTTTAACTAAAAAAATAAATAAACTATGATAATTCTGTTGAAAAAGCATAAATACTAGAAGAACTAACATATTATTAAAATGTTCACGAAATTGATTTAGAGTGATATTATTTGTGGTTATATCTGTATTAAGATGAGATTCAGTATCATCGTAACTGATAGAATAATCCGGAGGAAATATTAAACCGGATCCCTGTAAAATTTATGTGTCAAAGTTTGCTTCATTATTTCACACAATTAACATTAATTTAATGATATAATCGCTGAAATGTTTGTATGCAAAATATACCTGAAATGATTTCTGGAAGATATTAATAATCTAATTTAAATTAAGTTTGGTTTGATTTATAATGTCAATTTTAAAATACCTTTATTGATTGTCCTTCCTTTTCACCACCACTGAAATCGGTATTTGTTAGAGATGAGTAAAATCCGCCATGTTCATCAAAAGATGAATGATTTCCAAGAGCAACTGATGAATTAGTACTTTCAGTACTGAAAAAGATATGAAAGAGAGAGAGAGAGAGAGAGAGAGAGAATAAAATTAAAAAAAGAAAATTTTACTGAAAACATTTTATAATATTAAATTGTTGAAAGTATTCAGAAAAGTCTTAATGATACTAACCTTTTATTCGCATGTTTTATAATAAAACATCTAGAAGGACGTTGCAAATTCTTTTCACTGTTTCTTCTTGTATTTTTTTTAGTTTGCAACTGAAATGAAATAATTAAATTTAATTTTCTAGTAATCATTAATTAGTCTAATAATTTATAGATTATTGATAGATTAATCAATTAGTCTTAATTAATGGAATGCAAAATAATTCAAACAATATTTACCATATTTGTACCAATTTTTGATATTTCATTGACACGTTGATGTATATATTGACAACGTGCACCGTACGGACAATAGTTCCACACTGAGAATTTATTGCATAATTGAGTTTTGTATTTTGGATGAGCCTAAAAGTATCTTTTTGTGAAAAGTTAAAATTTGTAAATATGGAACTTTGCTAATGATAGTTCGAAAAATATAATCGACACTTTCATTGATTAAAATAGTTTAAATCAAGTAGCACATTTTAATTGATCAAATTATCGACTATATTTTTGATCAAATCGTATCAATGATTCACTTGAACAGGTAAACATAGTATTACCTGTGGTGGAAGACGAAGCTCTTTTTCTCCATGTGCAAAAACACATTCATCGCCATATTGACATATGTTATTTTCTCGAAATGACTTACATAGCGAAGTTTTGTACGCATTCCTTTTACGCCGCTCTGAAAGAAATTCTAGGATTTGAGAAATTTATAATTTACAATGCTTTTTTCACTTTTAATTTTTGATGAGTAATTCATTGAGTAAAGTTCTTAAATTAGGAACCGTTAATCAATTATCACATATGCATTATGAAATGAAATGGAACATTGAGGACAATTAAGGTCAAAGAGCACTCAGATGACAGAATACTATCTGTGAACCATTTTTGGAGAATAACTTTTCTAATCAAAGTATCTCACAGCTAACCTCTTTGTAATTCTTCACGTTCAGTATCAGTTAACATTTGCCATGTAGAAGTATTCATATTTTCTGATGAGTCGGTCTTTAAAGGAACATCATTTCTACTATGTTTCTAAAAAAAAAATTAATTTTTAATCAGTCTCTCTCTCTCTCTCTCAAACTCTCTCTCTATTTCATTTCCTCAGAGTTCTACAGCTAATTCATCTTGAAAGCAATGTTTCACCTATGAAAGTGAGAAATAACAATTGATAAACAGTTAACAAAAGTACTACGAATCTATAATTTAAACAAATTCAAAGATAAAAATTTTACCTTAGCAAGTTTTGATAAAACTCGTTGAATCACTTTATTTAGCTCAGCTTCTAAGTCATTCCGGACAATTGGATCATTCTGAACTAATTCACAAGCTTTTAGAGCTAAATTCTAGAAAGAAGAAACAATACTTTCTTTCTTTCTATTATAAAATTATTTAATGAAAATAATCATTCGTACCACTATTTATGCTTATCGTATCAATCATAATATCCACATATGTTTAATTTATCTCTAAATATCTCTTTTTCACTTATCATTGAAATAATAATAGTAACAATAGCACTCACAAAAAGGCTAGAAAACGAAATAAAATAATAACAATAACAATAACAATAATGCAATAACAATAACAATAACAACAATAATAATACCAGCAACAACAACAACAACAACAATCTGTAAACAATTTCCCATATTGTTTCCTATTTCGACAACAGGTAACATTTCAATTCCACACTAAACTTAAGCGTTATTTATGTCAACATCCATCAGCAAAGTACAGAACATACATCAACTAACCTGCACGACAGAACCATTATTTGTTGGATTAATCATGGATAGATCGATGAAGTGCAATTGTCCATAAGCACTTACATATATTCTGAAAGGATGTATGAAATAAATGATGAAGCATTTCAATGTCATTATTAAATTCAAATTATGGATTAAGATTAAATAAAACTTGCAACTAATTTTAATTAGAAAACTTAAGGAAAACTTAGTGAAGCATTAGTGATACAAATTTTTGGTATCATTATCAGAATTTTATTAAAATTTTAGGCGAGTATTTAAGGCAGTGATATTTTAATTTGTTTTTAATTTGTACCTGTTCGGTTCTTCTTGGTTGTAATATGCCATCATATGTGGCTCAACACCGTATGCTTCTAATAACTCATACATTTCCGGTGAGACAGGAACCATATTAACGGTTGCTGCTATCAGATCTTCTTTTGGTACAGTGTTATGATCACTCTTTACTGCTGTCATATT